CCGTTTCTCCTCGCCTCCTCCTCCTCCTCCCCTGGCAGTTGATTGGCGGGGCGTGGCTGCTTGGGCTAGCACCACGCCCCCCCCCCCCCCCCCCCCCCCCTGTATCGCCTTCTTGTGTGCCCTCCGGGGTTTTTTCCTTTGGGGAAGGGGCGAGGAGCAAGGGGTGCACATCTTTTTTCCGATATACCTCCACTTGTGCCGATCGAGGCCGTGTTGTATATGTACGCATGCATGGATGTGCGCGGAAAAAATGTGTGCATTATATATATACATGTCTGAGACGGCCCACAAGAGGCGGAGGCGCACATTCGCAGGTGGTGGACTCAACTGGCATAGTCCGGCCGTCCTACGCGCGCAGGGCAGGGCAAGGGAAGGGGGGGGGGGAGGGGCCAAGAGGGGCCATGCAGCACGCCGCCGCTTACATGCCCATCAGCTCGTTGAGGGTCAGGAGGACGGTGCAGGTGACTGTATGCGCGCATGGGCGTCCGCGCATGCGTGTACATGGACGCGTCGGGGGTGGGTTTCCATCCACCGGGGGGACAAAATGGCAAGGCGGTCAGGGCACGGGGTCTTTGCGGGGGAGAGGGAGGTGGGTGGCAGAGGGGCGGGGGGCAGGGGGAAGAAAGCACTTACGGGCCACGGCCATGGTGGAGTAGGTGTCCTTGAAGCGCAGGGTGCGGAAGATGAAGACCTCGGACATGAAGTGGGAGAAGGCCAGGCCGAAGGAGGCAATGGCAGTCAGGCGGAAGGCTGGTCCCGGGGGACGGGGCGCCGGCGTGCGTGCGTGTCAGCAAGGCGGGGGAGATCCATGGGACAGGGGGGGAGGGGGGGGGGGGGGGCGCAGCAGCCGATTCGAATGCCCGTACCCTGGACGTGGAACTGGTGGGCGGCCACGACGCAGAGGACACCGGTCAGGGTGACCCACATGGTGAAGATGCGGCCGGCCAGGGGGGTGACTGAGTCGGCCCCGGGAGAGAGAGAGAGAGAGATGGATGGATGGACAGGATGTTGGGTTAGCGTGTTCAAGCAGCAAAGGGGGGGCGGATATCCGAGAGGCGGGTGAGGGCGGGAGCGAGGGGCCGGATCCCGGAATGCCGGGGCATGTGCGCACCCTCCACGGCGCCAATGGTGTACAGGTACTTGCGGAGCTGGTCCGGGCGGCAGAAGCCGAGGTAGGCGCCAACGACCCGGCCGATGGCGGCCTGTCCGGGGGCAAGGGGCACCGCCGCCATGGGGCAGAGGCGTGGTCAGTGGCATGGACAACGATGGCAGGGCGGGGCGCGGCGTGCAGTGCATCATGGCGCACGTAGATCAGGGAGGCGCGGGCCAGGGTGGCGAGGGAAGGCATGACCGAGAACATGGCGGAGGCGGCTAGTCAGGCAAGCTGTGCCGGAGGGGTCTTCGGCTGGGGGGGGGGGGGGGG